TTAACCGAGTACAATAACATTTAAGGCTAACAGCTGGTAAAATTTAAATAGAAGTAGTTGGATCATTGGTAAACGAGGATCTACTGATCCCCGCCAAGTCTGAACTTCTGTTAAGTTTCTTTTGTATGAAGTTTTGTCAGAGAAACCTTGGCCTGACTGAGTCTATCTCTTAACATGTCATTCTGCAGACTGCACTGAAGCTATCGTCTGGTGATGATAATGAATTGCATCATATAATATCAATACTTCTTGGTTATGATGAATATAACACCGTACAGAAGAGAGATTGTAGTGAAAAAAAGGAGGAGATTGTTAATTTACTTGAAGAAAGTGCTTATAGTCATCTCTTGGAGGTATTTTTTGAGCATTTTTCCCTGCAATGAAAAAGTCAAATCATATATCCTTGTGTTTCCTTGTAATTATGCCTCGCTCTACATTGATCTTGTGGTTCTTTCTTTCTTTTCATATCTGGTTCTTTTTTATTGGGTGTGTGAGAGTACACACACAAGGAGTTGTGGAAAAATCCTAATGATGATGCAATTTATTGTGCTGGATAATACTCATTAGGTGATAATAATGATTTGCAGGTGATTGTGGAGGTTGCCCCAGAGGAATTGCGCAATGGTATGCTTGCAGGTAGTCTGAAGGGTGCATTATTTGCCATCTCATCTCACCACTGTGGCAACTATGTGGTGCAAGCTTTCATATCATCTGCTAAAACCTCAGATCAGGTATACAGACTTGTGCAGGAAGTAACATTTGAAATGTTCTTTCAGCAAACTAATGTTTTGCGCTAAAGTAAATGCTCTATTATCTATTCATGTTGCCCTGAGACATGGGAGTTTGTCAACAATTTGTATATCATTGCTTCATGTTGAAAAATTGGAGGCCACTGTAACATATCTGCTTCGTTGGATATTCATGACTGGTTAATGGTAGATCTTGACTCTTGATACTGAACATTTGAAATGCATCCTGTATCATTCATTCACAAGTCATGTACAATCTCTTGTCTGAGCGGCTATCCTATTTTTGCAATAACCTTTGCTATAATTTCTTGACTCTTACTTCTGTATCTACTACTTACCTGCGAGGGGATATAGTACTTATGTATGTCAGAATGTGCTTATGTGAGTCCATGTGCCGAAATCATGCATAGAATGTGATTTGTGTTTTAGATAATTCTTCTACTTAACATTTCTAATTCCAATCTGGTTATAGTTTCCAATATGAGATTTTCTTTATTTCATTTTGATAATACTTTTATTTTCACTCAGATGAATCAAATATGGGAGGAACTTGGTCCAAAAATGAAGGAATTGCTTGAACTAGGTAAAACAGGGGTTGTAGCTTCCATCTTAGCGGCATGCCAGCGGCTTGAAACTTATCGCCTTGAGGTCTTCATTTATGAACTTTTTGTTTCTGCATCATTATTTTATAACCGATTTTCACTAAATATGTCTGATTCCTTTGTTATGAACTGCAGAGTTCTCAAGCTCTCGCTGCAGCGTTAAGTTCAGGTTCTGAGTCTCCTGATAGCATTGTTGCACGTATACTTTTTCTTGAGAACTACCTACATGAGAGATCTTATTGGAAATGGACTCATGGTGCAAAGATGAGCATTCTGGGTTGCTTGATGCTGCAATCTATTTTCCAATACCCGCATGTATGTTGAAGTTGGTGTATTCTTTTTAAGCCCCCCTGCTCACTGCCACATGGTAGCAATATATCTCTGATTTATGGTGCATGCTGCTAACTGCTCATTGTTCTCTCCTAGTTTCCAAATTGTTTTTATGCTCACTTGGCTAGTTCTGTTTTTATCTAGCTTCAATCACTTAGATTTTGAACTGTCTCTCCTACCTTGTTACTCTTAATGAGTAATCGGTACCTTATTTCTTGAACAATATAGCAATACCGTAATCTATATCTGGCTCTTATCTCTCTGACATCTTAACTAATTGCTACCATTATGTTTAACATTAGTATGGAAAAACTTGGATGGCTAAAACCTTGCTCTTGCATTCCTTTTCTTGTGCAGCAATATATTCGCCCATATGTCGCAAGCTTGCTGGCCATGGGGGATGATCAGATCCTCCAAATTTCCAAGGATTCAGGAGGTAGCCGTGTTCTTGAGTCTTTTCTAGGTTCAAGTGCCACTGCAAAGCGTAAATTTAAAGTTTTTGGAAAGTAAGCCTCTTCCAAACACCCCAACTATTCGTAAATTTAAAGTTTTTGGAAAGTAAGCCTCTTCCAAACACCCCAACTATTCGGAGACTATTTCATCACTTCCTCAAAATGTGTTCAGATATAGTGAATTCATATGATTCGTTTACGCATTGCAGTTTAATAAATGTTTGAGTTGCACGGATAGTGCTATAATATTTTCGTTTTCATTTTTGAGCAGTAATCATCATGGCAATAAGGCTATAAAATGTTGGTTGAATGTTTGGTTCAAGTAAAAATAGACTTGGTTCAACTAGTTTTGCAGCCTCATTACCAAAAACCTTGTTTGTCTTGATTGTGATAGAAAGAATAAATAAAAAATATCACAAAGCTCAAATGTGTTCATGAGAATGCTAGGCTCTGCAGAACGGTAATTATGGTCAACTGATAGTCAGATACTAGTATTGAGCTACATATCTGTATCAGATATCCAACTTTGAGTATCCAGATTCGGATATGGTATTGGATATTGAATGTCCTGATTTGTATATGGACTATCCATCTAGTATCTGAACCCTTTGGATTCAGATACGTCTATCCATTTGGTCTCTGAACCCCTTCAGACGGAAGGATTAGACAGAAATTATCTGTCCTGTTTTCATCCCTGTATTGCATGTCAATCTTGTTTGTGATTTGTTAAGCTGAACCCTTGGCACCTGACTGTAGTTAACATCTCATTATTTCTGTTTATTTTATTGCTTTTGAACAGTAGTTTCCACATTTTTGTAAATAGAAAACTGCAGACTTTGTTTATCTTAGTTTTCTAGATCAGTCTTCCTGTTTACCAGCATATGTATTATATGGTAGGTTGCAAGGTCATTATGGAGAGATTGCTATGAATCCTTCTGGCTCATTCTTAGTAGAGAAGTGCTTTACTGCCAGTAACTTTTCTCATAAAGAGGCTATAGTGGCAGAGCTGTTGGCTGTGCAATCTGAACTATCTAAAACAAGACATGGGTTCCACTTGCTAAAGAAGCTGGATGTCGATAGGCAAGTCATATTTCCACTGTCTGCAAATGCACTTAGTCAAATAATCTATGCTATAGTACAATTTATTAAAAAGTTGTTCAGTCCTTTGCCCATGTTAACCGACTTATTGCCCTTTTTGTCACAGATATGCTAGGCGACCTGAGCAGTGGAGAGCTAGTCAAACTTCAAAAGAAACAACTCAAAAGAAGTTTGAGGCGGAATTCGGCTCAAACAGTCAATCTACTGGGCAGAATATCAAAGAAAAGTTCTCTCAAGGTCCCATGAAGAAACGTAAGCAGAAAGAGAAGGCTGACAGAATTACTGAGGATGCCAGGAGCAACAAATCAGATTTCTCTCAGAAAGAAAACAGTAAGAGGCCAAAATCTGCCAAGGCATCTTCTGAGAAAGGATCAAGTAGCAAGAACCCCCCAAGTGAAGGCGCTGGTGCTAGTGCCAACATGGTGTTCTTGAAGGGCTCTGTCAAGAGGAAATCCCCAGGTTTCCTTTCAGATAAACCGAGCCTCAAGAAACAAAAACATCACAAACCTGTTTCTGGTAGACCAGATGGCAAACTTTTTGTTCGAGATAGTGGTACTAGCGCACCGTTTGTCAAGAATGCTGGCAAACAGAAACAGTCCATTGCTGAGCTCGCAGACCTGGCTGGTAAGGAGAAGCTGACTGCGTCTGAAGTTCGCAAATTGCTGAAGCCTGAAATGTCAGGCAAGAGCTAATGAGTTCCAGAACGTGTGGGCAGCTGTAGGAAATATAAATCAGGTCTTTTTGCCCCTGTTGTCCTTAGGTTGAGCAGAGGCAGCAATTTTGTTGGTCGTCTTTCCTCATATGTTGCGGAAAGAAACTGTAGCACGCGAGATGGGTTTGTTTCAGTAGAGATGTATTCGTGATGCCTGTCTTGATACCGGTTTCTTTTGCTAATGAATCTGTTTGACCTAGCAAAGGTTTGTTTGATCCGCTGCTTGCTGATTTATATAGTACAAAACATGTAGAAAGATGGCAGCCCTGCCCAGGGCAACATTTTCCCTGGTAAGACCAAACAATACTCTGTAATATGTTAGTGCAGGAAATGCCAAGAGACTATCTAACCTAGGAGGAGACATGTCAGAACTGTAATGTGGGTACTAGAAACCAAGACACGAAAGAAAAAATACTCAGGAGTGGACTAGTTTTTCAGAAGGTGTCATGCTCATCCATCCATCCAATGCAGTTACCCGTGAAATCTGCAAATCCCACTATCTGCCGCCTCCTTCACATGTGTTTGTCCCAACTAAGGTTCACTGCCCCCCTGACAAATTGTTCTGCAGTCTCGAAAGATTCAGTCTACAATCATACATGACCACCTTGGCCCTCATGCCTTGACAAAATGTTTCCTGTCTCCTAGTTCAAAGCTTGTCCAGATTGACTATAAATTAGACCAAACACAGGCAGGCAGTGCACAACTCCTGTGACAAATGTTGATAGCAAGTGTACAGAAAATCATCCAAGTGCAGGGGCATCTCCTGTGACAAATCTGTACTGTAGCATCTTATTCAATGCAGTGGCCTTTGTATTTACTGGTGCCTTTCCAGTTCAGCCTGCCTGCCCTACGGCTGCAGTCAGTCTTTTCTCATCTGCCAGCAGCCACTGACTAGCTGAGCCATTGCTGCCATTGTGCTACTGCCGCTCCTAGTAGATTCTACTTGGTGATCCATTGCACATCGCCATGGTCTGCTCTTAGCTGAGCTGTTCATCCATGACTTGCTCTTGCTCTCAACATTGGTGCAGTGTTGCTCTTCTCCCTCTGTTTCCGCCAGATGACGAAGAAGAGTTGCTCTGGGAGGGCTGCTTGTGCTTCCCACCAGGACGAGTCCAAGGTGACCTCAGTGTCCCCTACCCATTCAGATTTCAGAAGCTCTGTACATTTACATGGCGTTCTTTCGTCTCCATCAAATCTTAACCATGCCATCATTTTTTCACACATCTACATGCTGCTGCGTCTCAAGTCTGAACCGTTGCCAATTCTCATGTCAGATCAGGGGAGAAGCAAGCCAAGGAACGAAACATAGACAGAGCAGCAGTTCAGGCCCAAACGCTCCTCCAAAGAAGAAGACATGGAAGAAGTACCTGACGTTCCTGTCCAAGTTTCAGAACAAGATGAAGCACAAGAAACCAGACGCCAGGGCACCCAGCAGCTTCAAGCAGAGTAGCCTGAAGCGGTCCAGCAGCGCAATGCTGGAAGAGTGCGTCAATCTGGTCCGGGTGATCCGGCGCACGGCGGCAGATTGCTTTGTGTCTGCGGTGGCTCGCGGAGATGAAGACGACGAGCTGCCTTGTTACATGCAGCTTGACCAGGTGGGCTACGGGGTGAAAAGGGAGGCCTACGGTCCCATCTACCTGGTCACATAGACGTAGCTTAGGAATGAAGTCCCTGTTTCACTTCATGTGCTATTGCATCAATTGCCTCCATGTTCAGGCGTCATGGCAATCTTCTTGGTTGCCGGCCAAAATCATCTCATATGTGATATATCTTCAGAAATGCTGCTACCATGTGCAATGAAGTCATCTTCTGAGTTCTGACTGAACTGAAAGACAGGCATAATGCATTCCTGTCTACTATGCGTCAATGCCTGTTCATCTGTATCTTCAGAATTGGTTCCAGACTTGGAAACATTAATACTAGCATCCCTTGACCTTAAGGTGATTGTTGTATGGTATTGTCGACTGGACGATTGCACAATCGATGGAATAATGTTTTTTCTTAAAAAAAAAATGAGAATGCATGCCTATGCAATTTCAGAATTAGGCATGCATTCTCATTTAGTGCGATATAATCACATGAATATCTAATACACGAGCTATATATATTATGCATCTATAAGAAAGACATTTATATTGCCAGTATCTTGTCATCAGAGATATAGTAATGAGGAAAGTACACAACACAAAGAGCTTCCATGCACAAGTACATCATAATCATACGGACTCTTTGTACATAAGTGTTGTTCATTGATTACAGCAGTGAGCAGGTGTTATTATCATGACAGTGACTATATACTAACAGACGGATAAAAAAGAGAACAATCATAGTACAATGCATGTCTCGTCTTTCTTACCCATTTATTTTAAGTATAATAGTACAGCAAAAGTTTATGTTTATTATGCAATGATTTCGTATGCAGATGGGAGCAGCCTGGGGACAGGACGAAGCATCAACGGCACGGCCCGCTGCAAGAGCAGAGTGAGTGCCTCCTCGAGGTCGCCCGGCGTCTGCCCCGCCGGCAGCTCCCAGTCGAAGGCGTGGACCAGAGTGGCGCAAGCGAGCGCGACCATGCGCGTACCCCAGCTTCGGCCCGCGCACACCCTTTCGCCCGGCCCCGAATGGGATGAACCCATACCCATCATACCCATAGTGCTCACTCTCACTGATCCCTTTGGCCGGCAGGAAGCGGGAAGGCCGGAACTGGAGCGGGTCGGGCCACAGGGCCGGGTCACGGGCGATGCCCCACACGTTCACCAGCAGCTCCAAGCCCTTGGGGACGTGGAACCCGGCGACCTCGCAGTCGTGGGCGGCCACGCGGGGCAGCGACAGCGGCGTCAACGGGTGCAGTCGGAAGGTCTCCCTGACGACGGCGTTCAGCAAGGGGAGCCGAGGGAGGTCGCGCTCCAAGACGAGCCTGCCGCGGCCCACCACGGCGTCCGCTTCTTCCTGGGCCCGCTTCAGGATGTCCGGGTGTCGGATCAGCTCCGACAGCGACCACCACTGTGATTGACGTCGGGTCGGTCCCGGCCACCAACAAATTCTGGTGCAATGCACATCATGATGAATTGCATGAAAAATTAAGCATGTCTCTTTGATGCTAGATAGATTGATAGATAGAGGTTCAAAAATACGGAAACCTCGAAAGAGTTTTGACTGACTTCGACATGAACGCCCGTATTAATTGGATTGACTTTGGCTTACTTAGACGTGGTCTTTTACGGTGTACTTAGATATACACAGTATCTATAGATACATAGGCCCTGTTGGAATTCTACGACAAAATTTTAGCCCTCCACTTTTAGTCCTTTTTTTTCCATGGGAATCCAAACAGGGGGTTAAAAGTGAGCAAATAATTAAAAACTGGGCTAAAATCTTTTGCTCCCAAAGAGGTTTTAAACTGGGCTAAACTCCCTTAGGGCGGGCGTTGGACGTCCCATGCCCTTTGCCGCTTGCATGCATGGTTGTGCATGAATAATTAAATGAGGGTAAATCAGTCATTATAGGTTAGAGGACTAATGTTTAGCCCATTGATCAAACAGCCCAGCAAAACTACTTTAGGGGCTAAACTTTAGTCCTTGGCTAGTGATCCAAACACCACCATAATAAAATAATGTACCTAAAAAACTAAATATTTTATAATTTGAAACGCAGAAAGTATTAGTTATTAGTGCATTGCACTTAAGCTAAAATAAAAAAATGTGAGAAAAGCTAAAATAACGTTGGTTTGCACAGTGGGCTAATCTGCCTCTTGCACGCAACTACTAGGATTTGGTCAGCTTAATCAATCAAATTTTAGTGCTAACCTTGATTTGGATCCCTATACCTGGTAGGATACAAGGCTAGACGCTTTTCACCATGACAAGTGCAAGTAGGGCCCGATAACAAGCCAGCTCGGCTTGGCTTTGTGACTCGTTAACAAGCTCACGCTAGCTCACAAGCAAGGTATACAAACGCACAAATTATATATTTTTGCATTTTTCTAAAGCTTGAGACTAGTAATAATACAAAAGTACCACATCCAAACACCTTAAATCAAACAAATAAAATAATATGTGCTGACATATGTATAACATACCGTACATAGTGCATCTATGATCCATTATTGATTATCTATACATCATTTTAAAAACAAGTGATACAGTCCCAAGTATATGGGGTTTAGGTCCAACCATCGATCAATTGCAAAGTGTAAGACATCATATAATACAAAACCAATGTAAATTTAAGGCCAACAACTTTGGCTCGTTAGGCTCGCGAGCCAGCTCACAAGCTAGCTCGTTAACTATACGAGCTAAAATGCTAGCTCAGCTTGTTAAAAAATATAAACGAGTCAAGCCGAGCCACTAACGAGCTGCTCGCTTTTCGTCCCACACTACGTACAAGGTCGTGTTATAAGATACATATATTGTAACATATATAAAATGGGTATTTCTAATCAAAGACATTTTTTTATAGAAAACCCCAAAATTTATGAATTCTATCTAGAATTTTGTTGAAATTTTAAAATTTAGTCGCACCCCTTTGTTTCACTTTGGCTTCGTCACTGTATACATGCAAGATATTTTGACTTAGGATGAATGTCAATTTTTTTGAGGGAGGTATAGGTGGTAGGAAGGCGACAAAAAAAAACTCACCAGAATAAGTGCCTTGACATGGGTGTCAGTGATCGTGTCATCCTCGCCTCCACCTAGGCGCAGCTCCTCCTGCACCATCGTCAGCAGCAAGCCTAGCAAGTCCATGCCTTCCTCGTCATCTGCTGGCTTAACCCCTGCCCTCCTATGTGCGATGATCCCGTTCATCATGTCATCGTACTGGCGGTGTAGCTTCTTCATCTTGGTCACCACACCCTGCGGTAACCCTAGGAAAAAATAACTGAGAACCGAGAACCGAACCGAAATAACTGGAACCGAGACCGAATTAACCGAAACCGAAAATTTCAGTTCCTAATTCGGTTCCCAGTTCTCAGGAACCGAAATTTATCAGGTTAATTCGGTTCTGGCTGTCGGTTAACCGAAAGAGCCGAACTTTGTATAAAGGCCCAAAAGCCCAGTGTATTTTCAGCCCATGTTTGTAACCCTAGGTATATAAGAAGTGAATCCCCACTCGAGAGATGACATCCCACCCAGGCTCCCAAGCCGCATCGCTCTTGGCCTCCTGCTCCCGCGGCGCTCCTGCTCCTTGGCCCGACCCGCGGCGCTCCTCCTCCTTCCCCACCCCGATAGCCGGCGCAGCGGGCTGGCCCTGCCTCCTTCCCTACCCCGGCGACCGACGCGGCGGCGCGTGCCCGCCGCTTCCTTCTCCCCCCGGCGACCGGCGCATGGCCCCCTACTTCCCCACCCCACGCCGCAGCAAGTAGGGTGAGGCGAACTGCGGGGCGGCGAGCAGGGTGAGGCGAAGCGCGGTGGCGAGCAGCGCGAGGCACAGCGACGCGTGGGGCTTGTGCCATTCTGTGTGGTCTTTCTCTCTTTGGTAGCACCTCGGTTCGTTCGGTCGGAACCGAAACGAACCGAATTAACCGAGACCGAATTTGGTCGGTTCATGGATTTCAAAAGAACCGATCGGTTCTAATTTATTGAGAAACCGAATTTGTCAAGAAACCGAGGAACCGAACCGATCGGTTTCGGTTAACCGAATGCCCAGGGCGACCCTGCGGGTCAAGCCACCGAAGCGGCGGCACGTAGTCACCGACGTTGAGCACGCCCCCACCTGAATCACCTCGAGCACGACCTCACTGAACCCCCGTGCGCCCTCGTCACCGCCGCCAAACACACGGCGCCCGAGCAGCGCCCGCGAGAGCGCGTTCGTCGTGCATACATTCACCTCATTCCCGAGCGCCACTGGCGGCGGCGGCGGCGCGTCGCAGGCAGCGCTTGCCTGCTCTGCGAGCGACCTCACCATGAGTGCGGCCTCGCGCTCCCGGACCACCCGGAGGCCGTCAAGAGCGCGCGCAGAGAAGAGATTCACCGTGCACACGTTCCGCATGGCGCGCCACCGGGGTCCGTAGGGCGCGAACACGACGTCCTGGTAGTTGTACGCCATGTGCTCGCCGCCTCGCCCCCGGAGCTGGGCGGCCGGCAGCTGAAGTTGGCGTCGTGGGTGCGGAGGAACTGCTCCGCCACGGCCGCTGATCCGGCCACCACCACGTTGGAGCTGCCGAACCGCAGCCGAAGCAGCGGCCCGTACACTTTGGCCATCTCGTGCAACGTCTGGTGCGTCTTCCCGCCGAGCTGAGGCAGGTTGCCAAGCACGGGCCAGCCCCTCGGACCGGGGAAGAAGAGGAGGAAGCATGGCATAGCAGCCAAGGTGGAAAGCAGTAGTGGGAGAGTGAGATCCATGGCGAGATTATTCAGGGTTAACGTGCGCATGCAGGAAAGCAATGCGCATGGTTTATGCAGCATGTACGAAGATGTGATAATATACGCCTAGACTAGATGGCTTAGATAAGACCGAGCTGTCGCGAGTCCATTTTTTCTTTTTATTTATTAATTAGATTATACTAGGTGCGTTGCAACGGTACATTTAGCTTGTTGTGTGGTTACTTAAATGATTTGCGGTTCGAGATTTATTTAACAAATTATGTCATGCATTTTAGTCCTGTTCGCTTGAGCTTATTCAGAACTACTTTTTAGTCATGGAACAGTGTTTT